AAGTGTGGTCTTCCCAAGGGCACTTACCTTCCTTGTGGCAGCCCCTCAAATACTGGAATACTGCTATCATGTCCCCCCCCCCAGTCCTTCTTTTCTCTAGACTAGCCAATACCCCAAATATCCAAAAGAAGATTGGATTTGTTGCCGGTTCTCTGCTCCCAATACTTCTTAGTATTTGATCCCTGGAGGCTGAAGCTAAATTGAGAAGCCGGCAGATGCCGAAGCCGCAATGCTGAAGACCAAAGGAGAAATCCCCACTGTGGACAACACTGCAAATAAATTTTCTCTCGTTCCCTCTGCCTTGATACGTCCGTTTGGGGAAAAACCCTTCCTCCCGGAACGTTTTTTGGGCTTCTTAGAAACAGCGAGATATCAACTCGCAGATGTGAAGCCCTTTTTTTTTTTGTTTTTAATCCTGGGAGTTTTGCCAGGAAAAATCTTGAAAGGCTCTTAATAAAGAAGCAATGTTGGATGATGGTGAGAAAGGGTTATATTTATACACAACATGTCGCTCTTGGCATGTCTCTTTTTCTGTCTTCACTTTCTTTCGATTGATCGGGGTTTGTTTGTTTTTTCCCCTCCTCCCAGAAAAAAAAAAAGTCTTTTAATGAGGTGATTCAGGAGGCAAAAAAATCTTTGACGGATTGAGTTGGTTCACCGTAGGAGATTATAAATATAAAACCTAACGTGTCGTCTATGGAAGGATCTCTCTCTCTCGGAAGCGAAGGCGTGCCTACGAAAGAGGAAGACCTGATTTGGCGTCTCACCTTAAAAACCAGACTGGCATTAACAAATAGGATGGAACAAAATCCTCAGAGTTAATGTCTGTGCTACACAAGACAAGAAATCTTGCGTTTTGGGGAAACGGGGCCAAACAGGATCCACTCAAAGATCCTTTGCCAAACTTTAGAGGCATTAGTTTAGAGTAGGAAGGGACCTTGGTGGTCTTCTAGTCCAACCCCCTGTTCAAGCAGGAGACCCTATACCATTCTGGACAAATGGATCTCCAGTCTCTTCTTAAAAGCCTCCAGTGATGGAGCGCCCACAACTTCTTGTGGCAAGCTGTTCCACTGGTTAATTGTTCTTACCATCAGGAAGTTTCTCCTTAGTTCTAGGCTGCTTCTCTCCTTGATGAGTTTCCATCCGTTGCTTCTTGTCCTGCCTTCAGGCGCTTTGGAGAATAATAATAATAATAATAATAATAATAATAATAATAATAATAATAATAATAATAGTAATAGTAGTAGTAGTAGTAGTAGTAGTAGTAATGATAATGATGATGATCATAATAATAATAATGTTGGAAGGGACCTTGGTGGTCTTCTAGTCCAACCCCCTGTTCAAGCAGGAGACCCTATACCATTCTGGACAAATGGATCTCCAGTCTCTTCTTAAAAGCCTCCAGTGATGGAGCGCCCACAATTTCTGGTGGCAAGCTGTTCCATTGGTTGATTGTCCTC